AATTTGTCATATTTTATGTCAATAAAGTAAATTAGGTGAATGATTTAAACGATACAGGTATATTTTTGTTTAAACAACCAGAAAATGGGTCATCAAACTCATGTAGATATGAAAGAGTAAATAGGGTAATAGTTTAATGTAGTATTGATACCCAATCTCAAGTCTCAACTTCACAATAACGCAACTAGTTGTAATTTCTTTGAAACCGAGCACGCTCTGGTGTTCGCAGTTAATACTGAACTGTATCAATTAAAACTGTCCCGTCTGATTTATTTTATTGGTTCGGCAATTGATTACATTACGCCAAATTGACCGCAATGAATGGGACGACGCGGGCGCCGCACTGCGTTCAAAAACCTTTATTATTTTGAAACGTTTAGATTTGAGACGTAATGATCATTTTTCAATAAACTAAATGTTTTATGTGAACGTGCTAGAAATAAATATCGTTATTCATAATTCTTATATTAGATAATTTTAAAAGTTATCCATTAATTAAAATAAAAGAACAATTGCTTTTAAATAATTGTTTTATTTAAATGGAATAGGTAAAAAGAAAAGTTTGAAAGACCTTATACTTTGAAAGCAATTTATCTTAAGCTGTATTTATGATTTTAACTTTATAACAATTTTACTTATTCATTTTATAAATATAATAATTACAATGAAATATAATGTAATTGGAATTAAATAATAGTTGATTAAATAAATTACAATTAATCGAAATGTCAAGAAGTAATAACTCCTAAAATAAATTGTTTACTTTAAAAAGCAAAACTTATTAATTGTGAAAAGTTAATAAAATTCATAAATTATTTATTAGTTCGAAGAAAAGATTATTATCAATAAGATTAAGAATAGTTTATTTAATAAATTACTTTTTTATTACATTTTTAACATCCAATTTATCAAAACTGGCAACACTTTTATTTTATAACCAACCTATTTTGTAACAACTATCAATCATTTCATTAATTTTGTTATTTATCTATACGATTACGATACAGCGCTGTCATTTATTCGTGTAATTTTAGTAAGTGCTCTTGGGGCTTTCATAACTGTTTTATTTACCTTAGTCATTGGACTCTTTTCTTTTGGATAAAAATCCGCGGTGATTTTTATCTGTAATGTTTTATCACACTGTATAATCTAGATTCCAGATCTGTCTGGATAGAATACTAATATCTAAGTGCATATATGCTATTTTTAGACTGTCTCACCTGTTGCTGTTTTGATAACTACTGTGATTTAAAACATATATTGAATACTAAATATTTATTAAAATACTTGCAACTACTATTATGATGTGGAATTGTTTTAGTGATGTCATCGTTTTCAACAATCCATATCCATATAAAACTCGAATTCAAAATTTGCAAAAATCCATAAAGTTAAAATGCATAACTCCAACGGTTAATAATTATCTCGATTTCAAATTTAAAAGAAAGATACTGTTTTTATATCGTTTTATTTTAATTTTGCACTTATGTATTTTATGTCTATATATCGATGTCTGGGATTCCTATAACTAATTGCACCATCATACAATAACATGTTTTTTCGAATAAAATTTCAATAAAATCTGTCATGACATGTGCTGTCATCATTTACATAACCATAAAGTCAAAACAGTAAGACAAGTTTATGAGGATAGTGAAGCTGAATCCCCGAGAGTGATTGACTTCTGGTTACTTAAGTATTATTTATAGTTGATCGTTATTGTCGCACATTAATTTCACGCCAACTAAAACAACTGATCTTCGTCTAGTTAATAATAGCTAGTAAACACGGAAGGCGTCTTGCTTTCAAACAAACAGTTGACAATCATTATATAAGTTTATACACGTTGTGTTTTCTTTTAAAATGGTTGATATAAAACTTATTTTTCGTATTAAGAAACATTTTCGTTGATTGATTAATCAGGTCTGTTTTTATTATTTATGGTATTTTATCATAAAATATTATAATATTTAAGTTTAAAACTTGTTTAAGCGCAGTTACATAAAAGCTTATTTGAAATCAAACAACGAAAATATAGTTCTAGTTAAATTCGAAGTAAAAGTAAAATTAAATCTCAGTGATTAGAGTTTAAAATGTACAAATAATACGTCGGCAATGAATAGTATCACGTGCTGTAATTCAAGTGCTTTAAAACAAAGCTAAGACTCGTCTGCGGTCGAAAAGTTATTTAGGATTTCTCTTGAAGCCGACGGACTTGCAGCCAATAACTGACAGATGTTTAGAGTGACCAGTAGCCAACAAATCTCAAGAATGTTACTTTACAACAATAATTTGTCTAGTTTGCGAATGTGTAAGCAAATGAAATTGCCCAGGCATCTGGGAACTCATTAACCCTTTAGTTCTGACTAGTTGCTCTTTAGTTGACTTGGTCGTATCGTTGTAGAGAGTAATAAATCTTGCAACTGTTTTGCACCAACAAACCGATGTACGTTTCATCTATTGCTTACCTTTATTATTATTATAAAATTTAAATTTTAGAAATATAATTTATGTCCTATTGTTGAAAAGTTACAAAAGTGTCCACTTGTATGAAATATATAAACTTAAAAAAAAATTGTAAAACAGTCAGCATTTTATAATTTAAACAAAGAAAGAAAATATTTGATTAACAAAATGATTTAGTGAAACCGTGTAAATGAAGCTCTGGTAAATGTTCCTGAATTTCGCGGTTAAAAGAGGTCGGTAGCCCTGCCAGCCTGGCCGAATTCTAGCGATTGTGATGATATATGAGGGCGCATTATTTTCTTATCTTCTCTCTTTCTAACTCCACGACCCATACTTCATTCTTGCCCGTATTATAAACGCTTTATTTTTAATATCTACGCATTTTTTTTTTGTATTGCTTCGAACTCCGTTAACCGGATGGCTCATCTCTCGTGATTATTATTACAAGAGAGATATAAATTATTTTTTGTTGGGACGGCCTTTAAGAAAATTGTTTCGTGAATATAATGTCGAGATGAGGTTATTGTAGCAAACAAGAGCCGGCCTTAACGAGTAAAAATATTTCCATAGCATAAAGTGAAGACGTAATCTTTTAATTTATTTGATTCTGAAATCATTACGTAACTTAATTTATAAGGAGGAAAATGTAAAGTGTTTGATAGGATTACAAAGTCATTTTGTTAAGGATTTTATTTTTGTGTTTTAGCTTTCCCTCGAATTTTCCTCAAGATGAGAGGGGTTCTTGTAAGCGGTTTTGTATGTTCCTAAAATATATTTCAATATTTTTGTAAATTTTTGAATCGAATTTATTTCAATTAAAGAAAGAAGAGGTTTTCAAATCTTATAGGTAGGTTTAATTAGTACTACAAAACTTTTTTTAAATGCGTCTGTTTAAAATAATTCAGAAATAACAATTTTTGTTTCTCGTTGGTTTTTGGTTTTCATGTAGGTCATATTTAATTTATTTATTGCTAGTTGTATATATGGCTTTTTACCATCTTTTATGTCTTGCTCAAAATTAACTTAAATAAATATGCTGGAATTTAAAGAAATAGATAACGGACATGTGCCCAGAAGAAAATCTATTTACTATAAATAAATATGATTAATTTTATTTGTATCATAAACATTAATGAGTTTCGATGTGACATAATATGATTCGTCTTCAATTTTCAACGATGCTTATCAATGATTTTATAAATTTAATATATAAACAAAAATAAGAGCTGTTGTACCTATTATTAAAAGATTTTTTTACATGAATTATTTTTAGTATATTAGTACTAAAATTAAAATTAAAAAAAAAACATAGTATATTTCTATTTCACTTTTAACTATAGCGGAGCTACTTAGATTATGTGTTGTATTTTAAATTTAAATTTATATTCCTTTTTATATTTGTTTATTAATTGTTGAAAAATTATTTAATACTTTTATTTCTTGCGACAGACAAACTTTTTATTAAATTGTATATAGCGAGGATGCGAGCAGCGTCTATTATTCGCGTCGTCCGGGCCCGCGCACCTGTAGCCCCGCTGGCCCCCGCTAGCCGCCGCTGGCCAGCTGAGCGGCCACTGCGCCGGGCTCGTCAGTCCGCATAAACTTTAGCTGTGAAATGCTTGTCCGTCATCGCTACGGCTATACTCGCACGCGCACCCTCGCTTACGAAAAATAATCCCCTTCTGTATTAATAGCCTCTAAGTAGTTTAAATTACTAAACCTTGGTAAATACGCTAAATAACATTGAAAATATTTAAAATGAAAACATTTTTTCTTACATTTCTGACAATTTTGTTTGTTCTTCTACATATTATTCAGTTATATCTTTTATTTTTTATTTTAGCATATTGACATTCGTATCTTGAAAGGTATTGGTTTCAATATTTCAATTCTATAAAGGAAATTTTTCATATATTTGATTTTTGAAATGAAATAACACAGCGTGGAATTCACTTACTTTTCTGTTCTAATAGAAGATTTTGACGTTTCAACAATAATACAGATATTCAATTGTCATCCGTAACGGTCACCGATATCATTTCTAATGACTGGGCTTATAATACGGAATCATACAAACGACCAGAACAATATTAAAACTGACTTCAATACACTTATTACAGTGAGTTTCAATGAATCTGAATATGCATGCGAACAACGAACTATACACGTAATCAATTTAGTACTGGGACATTGAGATTCTTGAATAAATGATCTATGTCATCCCTATCATTCTTCATGCTTGCTCGAATCGTTAATTAAAAATGGTAATGAGTGGAAATAAAGGCAGTTGCAAACTGGATTTTGTTGTTGTTTTTTTTTGTCTTTGAATAACAATGCGAATCATGATTTCTATTTCGCATTGGAATCCTTTGCATTTGTGTAATGTAAAACAAATGGCACGTTTAACACTTGTATATGTCAACAATTTCCGATTGATTTGTTTTTAAATATGTGCTTCATTTTAACAATGAAAAAGTAAAAAATAAATTTATTGAACTTTCATTATAATTTTAATGACATTTTACAGAATAAACATGAAGGAAGTGAAACGTCTAGAAAATGTGTCGTTAGGTGATCAAAGCTTAATTGCATTGACCGCGCTTCGGCGACGGACGTCCGGTGATCTAGGACGAGGTAAATGGATTGAAATAAAAAAAATCACTAATGCACCATACCTTACTTTATGGTGAAAGATGACTCATAATTTATTTGAGCACTATAGTTGAGTAAATGAATTTTATGTTTCGGAAAACGTATTTCATTACTCGAACGATATTTCCGAAATTCGATTCGGTAAAGACTCATTCTTCATATAAAATGTTCTATCATCCTTGGCTAATCTATCGAATATTTACAACAGGCGAATGTCCCATACCCAGGAAGCCAGGAAAGAAAATAAAATTGATATCGCTCTGCCGCGGGCGACCCGAGAAAAAGCATTTCGAAATAAATGACTTTTTAAATTTCATCGTTGCACACAGTTTCTCTATCAATTGTCGAGGCTCGGAAAGTAACTGGATTTTGCGACGGGCATTTATTGTGTGCGACGTACAAGATCAAGACTTTTATATCGCTAACTTTGATAAATAAAAGCCGCAGACATTTTTAAAATGTATATTGTTGGTTACTGTTAGCAGTTCTCTTGTGTTACATAATATAAACGTACCTAGTATTATCAATGTTTATTTATAGATGTTAGCATCGATCGTCAATGTTTTACATGAAGTAAGTTTAAATACGCTCATAGTTTATAATAGTTACAGCTAATAGTTTATAGACTAATACAACTATAACTTCATATTTATTAACATTACAACAATAATCTAAACACTAAATCTTATCAAAGATCTTAAGTATACATAATGAGTTCGTGAACACACAAATTAATCTTAACTTAATTACAACACGAGTATTTAAGGCGCTGTAAACGCAATGTAGCGCTTTAGTAATATAATTATTAACATAGTTTCTGAGGTGTTAAAGGAACATGCCGTTATTGCTGAGGCTGACATGTGCTCCAACCGGGTAAGAACTTTCATACACATGTTACCCCGCACTAAATGTTCTAAATTACGCAACAAGTGAAAAGGATTCACGTACAAAGATTACAACTCAACGTTGGGCCGAATTTAGACGGATGGCGACGCAGTTTTGAATTCAATTTCATGAACCAGTGGCACGGTAAAACAAATAGATTTTATAGGCTCAAGTTCGTGAACATTTTGTGAGAACTTTAAGATATTTACATAAATTTGTAAAGTTAATTACATTTTCAATAAAGCATTTTGAAATGATTTAAAATTTATGTATTATCATTATATGTATAATAAATAATGTTTACAGATTTCATGTTTACATTATTATTAATGTGGTCAGGAAATCACAATGTGAATGTAATATGCTATAGGTAACGAGGTGAATATTTGCATTCTAAATTATAAAAATGGTTTAAAATCTCTCCTTAAGTAAAAGTTTAAATTCCTACTTGACCAGTTTTAAGTGGTTAATAACTTCAAAAAATTGCTCTTAAGGAAGTTTGAGAGGGGCTGATTATTATTTTTAGACTAAAAGACCGAAAAGAAGGTTAAGATTTGTATTCGTTTAAATTTACAACATTAAAATAGGTCTTTATTTTATTATTATTACATCAATATTAATTAGGATATTACCTATACCATCGAAGTTATTATGAATAAATTAAATATGTAACTACGAGTATAAAAGGACTACTTTATTTGAGTCAGTATAGACGGCTATTTACAAAACGTTCGATATGTCATTTTTATGATCGTTAAATAGAAATAATGGTCCATTATGCAAGCGTCGCATAAACAAATTGCTCGCATATCTCATTAATGTCACTCAGGAGTGCACGGTGGCTCCGGTCTACGTCAGGTGTAAGTTTTCACGTATCTAGTTCTGCTTGTGAAGCGTTCGTTAACTCAACTTATATTGGATTACAGTCAACGTCACTTAAGTTTGATAATCCTCTGCGCTAAACTTTGTAACTGATTACATAATATAATGACTGATAAATGATTATAATGTACGAATTTGTTTAACCTTGTTTCTGTATGTCTTTATTTGTTGCAAATTTTATATTGAATTGGTAGTTTTACCTTCACAATTCAGAAATCTTTTTAAAATAGAAATATGTCATTGAATTTTCGAATTTCTAGATAGATCAAGTTTGACAAAAACCAAAGCTTTTGTCTTTCAAATAAAGTTTGAAACTTGAATTTAACTTCCCTTTAGTTTGGAACGTTGAACAATGTCTAAATAAAACAATAACTACTAAGATGGCGTAAGGTGACTGTTATTTTATAAATACAAGAGTAAAATTCACACATGATATTGAATACAAATTTATATAATATTAAAAGATATAAAAATAACTATATAATAAATGGTTTTTAGGCTAATTTTGTGAATTTATATGTAGATAATGACTACCTTTTTATTTTGAAAAGTCGCTTTTAAATCGAGAACCTAATTTAACGAAAAATATAATATTTGCAACAAATATACTAATATCATTATCTACATAATATATGAAAGAAAAAACACCTTTTATTCGAATAAAGAATGAAACACTCTTGTGGGGATTTCTATTTAATTTAAACACCAGACGAAATAAATAATTAAAATGAAGTATCACTTGCTTTTAGCACTGGACAGTATTAGTGATCAATCTGATTAAAGTCAGAAGAAAATAAGATCTAGTGTAATTTTTTCTTAACTCACGTTGCTGTAAGTACGTAATGAAGCGGACGGTCCTCCGAGGGCAGTACAAGGAGGCAGTGATGCGTTCCGCTCACGGACCACATCAGAAATCAATTAGGAACGGCTGGCGACTACGACGTGCCTCCCGCATGAATTATTGACGATTTACAACCGTCCCCTAACACTTCATCTAGATCATTACTTGGATAATTTTAATGAGAACCACTTTTAACATTAATATTGATCATAGAAAATAGATATTTGTTTCGTACATTACATAAAATTTTAATCCATATGAATATCATTTGTGTTATTATTAATGTAAACCAAATTGGAAAATATAATTAACTTGCATATTGTAATTAATTGCTATCGAATTAATTGCAATTCATGTGACAAATAAAGAACTGTAATGAAATATTTAATACATAATTAAAATCGTATTTTAAAATGTCTTCCCTCTCAATAACCCATATTCAATGAAAATGTTTATTTACGATTGACCCGCTTAAATAATTTTATGTTTAATAATATAATAATATTTTAATGTTATTTTATTTATTAAGTATGATAAAGTGTGTGTATGTTTGTTACATATTGAAGGTGAACGAAACGGTTTAGATACTTTTTACGTATCTTGCGAGATGGTTATTTACAACATAACACCCTGGAATAGAGAGGAACTATAAAAGCTAGAAATTAGTACAGAACTTGTATAATTTATTATTTATCCAGATACAAATTGCATATAAATTTGAACAAACTTATTTTATGTTATACTATACTATTATAGTATATAATATATTATTGCTAGCAAATAAAATAATTAAGTCTTTTTGTCATTTGCATTCTCTTTATTGTGGCGTATCTAATTTTGTAGTTTAATTGAAAATTCTGTCGGTATAATATCGTATAGTTACACAATAGATAGCCAGCTAGCTCTTTAATTACCAGGAAACTCGATTTCCTTGTAGATTATCCTGTCCGTCATATACTTAACTGAAACTGACTGCTCAAATTTCGTCTAAGAGCTTCATTTTCATGGGTAATATCGATAAGGAAATGTAGGACCATTGAAAAGTGAACTTTATTGATAAGTAAATATCAATGTGATCATTGAAAGCAATCGAGTGAAGAAACGATTTCATTTGATAAATGATAAACGTTCAACAGTTTAAAAGTAAGTCAACTGTTAGTGTTTTAAATTCTTTTGAAGTGAAATAAGAACATTTACATTTTTCTGTGACGTAAACTTGTCCGATGCAACAAAAGTGTCAAAAAAAGGAGAAAGTTATGTAGTGGTACTCCGTCTCGTTGTTTAGTAAGAGATTCCCATCTTGATACATTGCAATGTAGTTTTCTTGAAATAAAAAAAGCTTTGGACGGAAATTTAGGGGATTTTATTGAGTATTTGAGTTCTATTTAGGAGTGGCCATAGCTGTTTACACGTTCAAATCCTTTAACTCAATTATGTTAGGTGCTTTTACAGTTTCTGTGTTGTTAGAAAAAGAAATTTTTGTTTCTCTTGAGTATATGTGACTTTTGTAAAATTTCCTTCGAGCACATAAATTAACTAATTGTTTTTATGCTAAAGGTCACAATAAATATCTATTCATACTAAAACTTATATAATATAACTATAATTGACAAAGTTTAAATAATTCAGAAGGTGGAGCAGTAAATTAGTTATGGTTAGTTAGATTCATTTTATTTTTATGATTGCATTAAAAAAGAAATCGGAGGAAGCGCAGAGATAAGGTAACAAGCAGTTATAAGGATTTGCATTTTAAAGTACAACTTTCATTCTACTATTTTATACCTACATAATACAAATTTGAGTAGTTTTTATTCAGTAATAATAATTTTTTTGGCTTCAATTAAAAAACCACAGTTACCTTCGTTAATTTAAAACTAATCAATTTTAGTAAGATAATAACGCTTTATTTGTGTGTCATGAGTTCGTGTTTGAGATAAAAAACCATGAACCGTCACTTCCATATAGAAAAAAATATGAGAAACTATATTTTTTTCGCCATTTTGTTATTATTGAATATTGTCAGTTGTCATTCTAAGCGCAAGTGAATAAGTTTTAATTAGTAAACAGTGGATTAATTTATTAACGAACTAGAAGACCCGGAGAACTTCGTATCGCCCTATAATCAAGAAATATCTGTTACGTTTTTTTATTTATATTTTTGGAGTTTACCTATTAAAGCCATAAATCTTCGTGTTATGAAACGCTACAGAATGATTGACATATTAGTTAGTTGTCAAATCTAATGTCAAAAAAACGTTTGTATGGGAAAAAGAAACGCGCTGTTTTTAGGGAATGAGTCAATTTTTTTTTCAGCCTTTAAACCTTCCCTGAACCTTCACAAACATTTCAAGACTAAGATAAGATAAATCCGTTCAGCCGCTCTCGAGTTTTAGTGAGACTAACGAACAGCAATTAATTTATATATATATATATAGATTATGAAAAATTATAGCTGTGAGCTTTGTGCTTGGGATGTGTGTTAATCGTAATTAAATACGAGTAGAAGTTCAATGTTGACGTTTGATAATAAAATTAAAATAAGTGTAAAGGGAAGGTATGTGACCAGTTGAGATTAAACTAAAAAAAGGGTAATGTTATTCGTTATAATAAAAAGTACTATGATAGTTTTAATTAGTTAGAAGGTTGTGTACACACCAATAAGTTATTTTGTTTGCCTTGTTTGTTGTTTTCAAATGAAAATAAGAAGAATGTTTGAATCTCCACTGGATGATTTGGATATTTACTGGATATTTAAATAACTTTTATGAAGCTGTGATGAACAGATCATAATGGTTTTAAAGTACTTTCGTAGCTCAAGTATAGTTGAAAGATTCATAAAGTATATAGATGTTCGTTCTGATTGGACTGCTGTAACATTATGCGCGAATATTAGCAATGTTTAAATGAAACTAATATTTTATGATTACTTCGCGTATTTTATTATGTTTAAAAACTACATACTCCCGATGTTTCGATTAGGTACTTTGCAGCAGCCGTGATCACGGCAGACATCGCATCTGCAGGTCTAAGTAATAAATTATGCGTAGTAATTCGAAAATATTAGTTTCATTTAAATAAATACTTGCGAAAGATCTCTTTATTATCAATGTTTTAGAAAGGAAATCATGAAAATTGGTAAATTTTTTTTTCATACATATTTTGCTTACCCTTCCCCAAATCTCTTTGCACGCCAATGTTTCCTAATACCTACATTCTATCAACATAATATTATGTTGCACACATCACGACCTGCCTTATACACTTTGACAGTTGCTTAAAAACAATTTGATTTTTTTTTTCCTTAAATTTTTTAGCAATTTTTTATCATAACTTGGAAATATATCTTTTACGTGTACATTTAATTATATATCTAAGTTATTTTACGAGGGGAAAACTTTGAATATAAAAAAAGATGTACATATAAATGTAATTCCGAAAGCGTAGCCGCGGGATGACTGGTGTTTATTCAATTTACGTATTTATATGTGTAAAAGCAGTGTTATTTTAACAGCGAATTTTCATATAAACGAACTTTATGCATATAAATGTTAAATTTGATAGTCCTATATTGGTCGGTTTTCATCGAACATTATTCCCTTCGTTGGTGTTAGTGAACGTTAGATGATGCTTATTGCATAACGCATTTTATTCAATTATTGGTATTGGTCAATACAATTGGTCCTGTGATAGACATAATTTCGTAAATGGATTTCTATGAATTTCGTTTCAAATTCAAATAGGAATATCGATGAGATAAATAAACAGCTATGCTCTGATTATAAGCGTTAGGTTTAGCCTCGTTTAAATAATAATATTTAATGCAATTGTGCCGGCATCACGTGCTGCACAATAATACTTTATTGGGACTGTATTATTACATTTTACCTACTGCATATGCTAATGAATGCTTACAGCAATGTTTGTATTTTATATTTCGAAAATAATATGTTCATTCTAAATATGAGAAAAATATAACTTTATTTAAAATGTCATTAACGTTAAACTGATAATACTTTTATTAAAAACGATACTTTGACATGAATTTTTAATGAACGATCTAGTGTTTGTGTCAAATATGTATACCTAAATAATCGTACTGTTTACATACATGTGTATTTTGGATAAGGACAAGTTAACAAACCCGAGTAAAATAAGGGTAAATATAAATATTCATGCGCTATTCACAACTACGAGAAATGCAAGTTGCTTCCGAGTATGTGATCCTTAGTTTTGAGGTGAGTTGAGCTCGTGACAGCACATACTAATCCAGTACATCCGAAATGAGCCAACCGCAGCAGCACGCTCTTTAGAACTTATGACAAAGAATATTTATTATCTCTGCTTGTTTGTCTTCATACATTCATAACTTAATTACAATTTTATTACATATTACGACATGTATATTTTCAATTTAAAATATTGTAGTTTCCTAACAACTTCAAAATTACTTTGTATGTATTAATTATTTTATGAAAGAAAACATAAAAAATATATGCAGGGAGGACAATAATTTCAGAATTCATTTATGTCCTTTGAAATTCTTATATCTGTAAAAAATAAAAGTTCAATTAACGTCCTAGTCACAGCTTTGATCATGTTCAATATTTTGTTTGCATCAATGCGCTTATGAAACAAAGCTTTTGAAAGAGCTTCGTTGATTTTATCGTAGTTTAAATTGGAGTTCAGTTGAAGTATTTCGATTCTATTCGACATAAGTACAAATGGCACAATTTCAGTGATATTCAACTTGTGACAAAAAGATCCACGGGATTTCTTTCATAAAGTGCTTTTGTGAACTAAGTTTTGGTCCACATATACTTGGGACGCACAAACATCTCGGAAAATGTTACCATTTATCACAGGGTTGCCCCTATTGTCATAATTTTCAGTAAGTACATTCTTAAATAGATTTTCATTATATAAAAAATATTATGATGGAGATACTCTTTTTAATAAAACAGCTGTCCACCTGTTTTTTGTTGAATGTATAGAAGCAATTTTTTATATAAGACATATTATCTTTATTTTATAAAATATATCACGAGGAAAAAATATATAAAAGCGAATCTTAAATATATAAGTACTTAAACATAGTAGCGTCAGCCCTATACAACAGAATGTAGGCTTCAAAGTCCAAGAAAATGAATATGCGAGAAGCTACTAAGATAAGTTTACTCCAATTCTTTTTACCTATATAGGAAAACGCTTCATAATATATTGGTATTTGAGAACAAACTTGACTATGACATATAGCATATTGGTAAAGTTTTAACCGTGTGTCGCCATTAAGTATAAAAAGTTGTTAGTTTAAGAATAACAGATTTATTATCGACATGTAGCGACAGCAGAAACAGAATTTAACTGAAAAATTTAATACTCAAATAATACTATAATGTTGATATTGATAACAATGGAACTGTAAATTGTTTTGCAAGGAGTTACGCAGACACAAGCCGCTATATTTTCAATTTCACGAAACAATTATTCCGCCATGTCATCAATCTGATTCCCGCTTTGATTGCGCGGCAAATTCGTTTTGTTTGGACACAAAAATTGCAATATAAAGAGCTGCCACATCATTCCCTTTGGTTTAACGTAGATTGCTTCCCAAAATGTAATATTCATTTTAAAATAGGGAATTGGCCAATTTAGTATATTTATTTTCATTCGATACTAACTGGATATTTTGATTTTTTTACAACAAGTCCAACGAGGGTTGAAGAACTATGCAATTCAATTGAAATAATTTAATTGAACTGAAATTCCTTTAAGAAAATTCTAAAGAAAGTGGAGGAAGCTTCGAGTGGAGAAGCGCTGGGGGCGCAACATAATATTACAATACTTGAGATAAAATAAATGCCGCACCTTATTGCAACTTATTTAGCGTTGTCGCACTACTGATACTGTATAAGATAGAATAAACAAGATTGAGCTCAGAAATATATTTGTCCTAAATTTTTCTCTGTGAAAAAGTGTTTCAATGAAGAGCTTATTATCCCTTCCTATTTATCCGTGACTCAAACCTTATTTGCATGTAATTGAAGTCGTCGGATTTATGAGGTTGGTAGAAGTCTATTTAAAAAAAGGATTTACAAAATGTTCATCTTAGAATCGGAGGAGGCACCGACGGAGCTCTCTTTACGTGGCGAAGTAATCAGACTGCAGCCTCGAGCTAATCTTGATGTACTATTCCTAGGTTGCGCTATATACGTATTGTACTCTTTTCAGGTTTGCTGTATTATTTATATAAGAATACTTATGTTGCTTATACCGATCGGCTCCCTCATAATGATTTGAGACTGACTGAAAAATATTAAGAAATTATATTGTTATTGTAACACACTTTTATTTGTTTTTACAAATAATATAACTTATAGTTTTAACAACTTCCTATGTGAGATAAATAATATTATTACCAATATTAAAAAAATACATATTTCAATTACGTCCATAGAGTGTAGGAACAAATGGCACAGCACCTCGTTATAGAAATATAATGTTATAAAAACTTGTGTATATACCTGATGAGTGTTATCGGATATTAAATTCATTTCTAACTAGAAAAACTGTACGGAGTTGTCGCGTTGTGAAGTCGCTGGTCATAAATAAAGTGCAACCGCTTAAGCCGGATGAGGTTATACTAAGTTAAAAAGCGATGCAACTCATGCAGGTGACCAGTGGTTTATCTGGAAAGCGCAGACGGGCGTGGCTGGATCGCAGGTTTGCGGAAACCAGGCCGGTCTCCATGTACTAACGGTCACATGCGCTATCTCGTAAGCCGCACCGTGGATAATCGACTCATTTATAAAGTTTAGCGTCGCAAAGCTGTGAGACTTTTTGATTGAAAACAAACTTAGAAGGGACAGGCTCATTTGAATAAGTATTCTGAGAATAAAGTGTGGCTTTATGTTTTCCTTTAGGTGTTTTTTTCTCTTTGTTATGCAAAACAATGTTCCACCTTGTTTAGGTACTACAACACGCCTCATTTTTGAGTGAAAGACTCTTTTGAAGTTAAGCTTTCCTGTATAAATTATTTTATTTTCACTGTATTGTTTAAAGAGACAGCCTTTTGTAACATTAATGGTTGCCGCGATTTCTTGTCGCAAGTCTTAGTTTTTCATAAACTAGAAATATATTTCTTGCTTTCAAAATAACAATGCAAGGCCATAATTAGACCGAGGCGAACCATATTTATATTATAATATTAAGTGAAATATGCAAACAGTATTACGCAATCTCATTTCTTTATTTTTTCCTTTGTGATTTAAATCATTGTTTGTTATTGAAATATAACGTAAGAAAAACAAAGAGGGGTGTAAAAGTTTACACGAAAATAATCATAAATATCTTTACTGCACCGGAATTGTTCTTACATAATTTATGATTTATTTCGTCGTTGTGTTTTTTAATTATCATTTCGATATGTTTTTTCCATTCGAAAGCCACTAAGAGTTATAAAGTATAAATATACTTTAGTTATATACTTTACATTGGTAATCAGAAATGCATGTATACATTTTTGGTGGCTTCGCATCGCATGCATGGGATATACTACAGAGTTGTAGATATTGTACATAAAAGTTGTTATTTGATAACTATCCATCTCCAACGATATAAAAAGTATCTAATAATCGAGTATATGTTAAATCAAACAAATAATTAACAGGTAGATAAAATAAGGTATCTTTAGCGTTGTTGTGTGACGTTACATGTTAGTGGCGATTTTTCCCTTTCCGCTAACAAAGTAAACAATAAGCGTGTCTACGATTACCAGGAGTCTGTAATTATCGGTTTCAGTGCTACTAATAGGTCAGTCGCTAATGTGTACGTCCGCTGTCCTGTTAGTTGTGTAGCTCGAAATACGTCTAATCAACAGCTTGGTGACATTTTACGTAACGCGATAATTGTGTGTGCTTATGCGATCACTGATTTAGAGACGGACATATTAGCTGGCATGTGTGCTAATGAAGTTACGCTATGGGATTCGAATTTCGAGAATGCAAAGTTCGGTTTCAGATAAAACAGCAATTTCTATTCGAGATTTAAATAAAAGTCATAAATAGATAATGTAGTTCCTTTTTAACTTTATTTTTATTTACTTAAGTATTTTGCTGGGAAGCTGCGAGATACATATTTATATTTACATACATATTTAATTAAATCTGCAACTAAGTATTTTAAGTTTCTTTACAAGAAAAGTGAACTATCTTTTGAGTTCTTTAGGAATTATGAGAGCATTCTGGCGACTCTGTAGAGTTTGTGTAACGTAGAAATATTCCTAATTAAATAAATGAATTAGACATCTAACTTTAGTAGTTGAGAAACTCACTTTACTTAATTACTGTTATTTTCGAATATTGCTAAATGTTTAAAATATATTAATTGTTTAATTTCTTAAAATATAAAAATGAGTAATGATAAAACGATATGAATGGAAATAATTTTTAACAATATATTCAAGTTGAAAGCATTTAAAATATCATTCAAAATATAATACAATTTGTTTTACTTCAAAGTTGATTATTGCTTTATTTTATTGTACTTTAACACGCAAGTCTCATCTTTAATTATAAATACTAGAATGGTGTTCTGGATAATACTTGCGATTAAGTTATAAATTTTATGTATCCTTTAATAAACAAATCTTTTAGTCACAAAATATATATACTTAAAATAATATTTAATTCAAAAAAATGGCTTTGAGTCTTCATCGTTTATAAAAGTAAGCAATAGAAGCACGAAAAAATCAATAAAAGCCATCCATTCTTAGGAACAAGTAACTTGCGGCCGCTTTTAAGTAATATTTAATGAGGGGGCCGATAGTCGACACTCGCTAACACAATTAGAAAAGATCAATATCAATCACCTTATTTATTAATAAGTATATACGCAGAAAGAAAATTGTAGGTACAATTATTGTTAACTCACATATATTTCTCCGCTTATCTGCCGAGATACACAGTTACAAGTTTTTGTTTTAACCGTTTATAATAACGTCAATTTCTTTAGTAAAGTTACCTTTATTATGTAAACACTGTAATGTTATGAAGTGACATTACATCAAAGCGTAGTAAAGTATTGTATAGTTTTCAGTTAATAATATATTGGCAGGATATCACGAGACATGGGGTTATGTTCGGTTTGACGACGACACATAAAACGAGGATTTTATTACTGTTGATATCCACCTGACCCGGAAAATTGTAAAATTGTAAGCCACAATCAAATCAGTGTTATGCTTGTTTTATTCAGCTTTGAATAATATATTTATTGCGTGTGATGTAACTGATTGTACATGTTGTACATTATTATGTAACCTATTGGTTACAATACGCAAATAAAATATTACTCATAATAAAATAAATAAGATTTTAGTACACTTGTCAAAAAATATTTTTGTTATATTCTTAAAAGTATATAATAATATAGTTAATATAATCAGAAAGAAGATAGGTATTGTACTAGACTCTATGGAATATTAATATTACGTAAAATTTCTTTTAAAATAAACTTGAAGAGCCTTAATCATCGATAGTCGAGAAAATCCAATTATCACTTGCACAATGGGTCACGAAACAATCTGAACTAAGAAAATTAATCTTCTGACTCCAGAGAGTACTGTCTGTGCAAACTTAGACAATGAATTTATAGTTCATCGATTTTGGCCCATTGGAAGCCGACCAGCAGTGTTAATACCGATGTCATATAAGATAAGTATAAGAAATTGATTTAAAAGTCACTATCGTTTTGTTTGTTACTTTATTTATGACACGTATGTATATGAAGTGAAACAATATATTTATGTTTATATAATATTCTCCAATAAAGTATGTATGTATTGATGTCAATTGCAGCAAAAAAATTAATGAGGAATATTCAAAAATAAAATCTCCGTATAAACCGTGCTAAATAATTTCTAAAAGTGATAGTGCAAATAGATTTCTTTAAGATAAATCTAAAGAAAAAGTAGTCAAATCGCACGGAAAAGTGTAATTTAGTTGTCTCAATTTTTATGAACTCAAGGAATACATTCCAGGCACGTGTTAAGGTTTGGAAGCGATTGTTGAGGAAGGGACTTGTGTATTGTAATAAGATAAAGAATGTTCCAGTTTATCTTATACTGCTGAAGATACTGTGTAAATGTGTTTTTATGTGTTTGGTTTAAATTGTTATATGACGTCACATGTACATAGCATTAAGCATAAATTATGATTGGCGTTTTATTTTATTTTAAACGAGACTAACACTGAAAGTACTTTATTTAATGATTATTTACTTCAAAGGTTATTGACAGTATTCATTTGAAATATGGAGGTACAGAGCATAGCTATTCAGCCCCATCAAAGGTTATGGACATGTTTTGGATTTTGATTATGTACGTGTAAGCGGGCCAAAGCAAACAGACCCTCGAAACAACTTTCTGGCATTTAAAACAAAGTTTAATTGAGATGTGGTTTACCTTGTCACACTGCTCAATCGCTGTTTACTTGTCTATTTATCTTTTATCTAACTAGGATGACGTCATCTTCTATATTTTGAAAATGATATTGAAAAAAATTCAGATTTTCCTGTGGTTTATTACCGATTATTACAAATTCAACTAAATAAATTTCCATCCCATGTTTATTCAAAATGAAAATGAATTGATTTCGTACATTTGATTATTTCATATAAAAATTGTATTCGCCCCAAATAGTTATATATTTCCAAACTAAACGTTTTTCAAAGTATGGATAATATAATTTTGATCAAAATTTATTATTATACTATTCCATTTATACCTCATATTGAATATAAAATAATTTGAAATATAAATCACATTGCGGTATTCAATTCAGCAAAAAGGAATTGTAAAATGTATAATATTATATGATTGATATATAAAAATTCGCAAAGAAAGACATTGCTTTTACACCATAAAATTTAATCGTCAACTATCCTTTAGGGCAATTAAAACTGGTACGACCTTAAAAATCAACGTTATTGTATGATAGGGCACGTTCATTCGTGAAATTGTTCGGTTTCTGCTTGTGTTTGTATCATAAATGTTTCACGATATCCAATGTTAAAGCCTGCCGAATTTGATTTTCACATATTGATGATGTCCCTACATTGCAGCCAAACAACGCGGTGGCGTCAACACAATTGTTTGATTGGAATACACAAAAAATTGAAACTGCAGATAGTAAATAGTAATAACGTTTAAATGTTTTAGTACGTTTGGTTTTTAATTGAGAAATTGAGTAGGTAAATAGAACTTTGATATTCCATGTTTATTAATATAAATTAATTTCGATGTTTACAAAATGCAAATGTTTAATTCAAAGCAGCTTTATTACTTTATAAAACACCGCGTCCTGTAGACTATATTACTAAAACATGATCCGTTTTGATGTATAACGCAAATATCAAATTAGTGGCTCCCTGTCATTCCGGCACGTTTAATATTTCAGATATTCTCCTCACGCCTCGTCCTTCACGGCCGTCCTGATTGCCGTTAAATTGAACTAAAAACTTCTTCAGTGCTTCCAAAACGTTTCAATTATATACCAATATTTTTCTTCTCGTGAATGTTAAAGATTGTTCGCGTGTTAATTTTCTTTAAACCTTCTTGGCACTATTATGTCCCTCGGACGAATATTTTTGCCGCGATGACGTACAGCTACTTAAAAACACATTTCAACGGCAAAGTAACGGAAGCCATAATTTGGAAGCGTTTGCATTTGCAGATTAAATAAGTTTATGCGATGACTAGTTGCCTGGTTACAATTTATTACCCGCTGTGTAGAAGTACAAACAGCGTTAAGATGTTTTCAATAGAATGCCAACAACGGGATGTAAAGTTTTGCAATAGTGCGCTCTCGGATCGTGCAATTATTGCCAACCAACTCCTGATTGAATTCTTAGGTCAAGTTTGCGGTGAAAGTTTGCATAAAAGACCCTTTGCAAATTAACAATTTTCCTTGTTAAGAATTTTTGTTTTATTTATTTTCGAGTTTCTCTAATTAAAGGAAAACTAGGGACGTTTCTCTACTAAATCGGAACGGATCCATTAGGGTACGATTTAATTTTGTTACAAAATTTACCGTATACTTTATAACCGTTGAAATTGACCGAGCGCCAACATTTCGTTAACACGCATGTCATGTCTGGAAGTTCCGTCCGTGTTTTCGGAAGACTATTCAGAATTTAAAATGGATTCGTTTATAAAGGCATTTACCGGGGTCCGCATATTCGATGAGGGAGAGGCAGGTGAGTGAGTGACCTGTTTGCCGGTGGCCCGCGCTCTAACGCGATCAAAACGCAGGATGGCTTAGACGCTGACGTAGACAGCGACGCGCCGCTCCCAACCTACCCCCCATAAATCAGTCGACGATTGACGTTTCCCTATAGGGATCTATTTCTTTCCCGCTATGATACACATCACTTACTAAGATTTTCACAACAATAATTTGTTTGGATTTTCAAATGGTTTTGATTGCTTTTCTTGTCATTACATATTGCAACTTGTATAATATAATTTTTATTAAAAACAGTGTTAAGAAGATAATAATAATAATTAAAACTAAACAGGTCTGTTATTAACAATAAATTAAGGTGAAAGAATAAAGAAATAATTAATTACGGTACATAAATGACTATTGATTTCTATATAAGCGTCTGCTATTAGAATCTATTAAATCTAATAAAATCACCAATTATCTCAATCCCGTATATTATTAATACATTTCTATTATTCACAGATTATTTCCCTTACGCAAAAGCAACGTAACTACATATAAAGTTGCATAGAAATACGTTCAGTTATTATCCTCACAAATTTCCCCTATTTATATTGATAATATCGTGTTTGGATTTTTCTAAAGCATTGTAATCCGATATAATAATTCTATATTTACGTGTAATAAGGGCATCTGGTAGCCGAGTACATTTAATATTTTAGATAGTCTCCTCACGCGTTGGCTTCAACGGACCCTGATTGCCGTCCGATCGAAATTATATTTCTCTACATTCAAACCT